ACCAGACGGTGGGTCAGTTCAACCGGCTGCTGGAGAAGGCGGTGCCGGTGTACCGCAGCCGGCGCGACTACCCGCGCCGAGCGGCCGTCACGCTCTATTGGAGACGCGGAGACAACGCGGAAGAGTTTGCTCGCGCCGTCCTCCGTCCCTATCGCGACGAGAGTCTGCGCAACCGCGGCGGCGATCGCCGCGCCGTCAGCCTCAACAGCGTCTTCCGCAGCCACCACAGCGAGCCGGTCGGCGCCGGCGCCGGCAAACTGCGCGGCAAACAACGACCGCCAACGGCGACGGCGACGGCGACGCCGATACCGTCGAGGGGCGAGGAGGAGGAGGCGGAGGAGGCGGCGGAAAAGGGGGAGGAGTTGAGAGGCGGAGTGAAGCCGGTCAGTCAGCTGGTCTTCTTCGAGAGTCTGCCCGAAGAGACGTCGCCGTTGCAGGCGACGGAAGCGCTCAGCTTCCAGCCGTCGTCGCGTGATCTCGATCCGCCCCCTCCGGTCGCCCAGCTCGACGCCGAACCCGATCCGGCCTCGGGCTCAGGTTCGGGCTCGGGCTCGGGCGGTCAGTGGCCGGCGGTGGTGAGCGAGATCGGCGAGGCCGAGCAGATCGAGTTGCCCAAGAGCCTGGCCCGGCCGAACGTGCAGAGCGTTGCCGTGGAGATGCGCGTGGAGGTGGGCCTGTCGGCCGAGAGTCCGTCGACTTGTCTGTTGCCGGTGCTGACGACGCAATGGTCGACGGTCTCGCCGGAGATGACGCAACAGCCGACGGTACAGACGGTGCGCACGGAGCACGGCCAGCCGGCCGCCCGCCTCTCCAATTGTCCCACCGAGCAGATGCTCGTCTCGATGGTACAGTTGGCCGGCGAGCCGACCACCAGCCAACTGTTGCTGGTCAACACGCAGACCGGCAACGCCGTCGTCAGCCTCACCTACGCCGCCTGCAGCATCCCGCAGAGCGCCGTCGCGCCGGCCTCGGCCACGGAATCGCATCACCTCCTCAAAGCGTCGACCAACTCGACGCATTGGGAGGAGCAGATTGTCGGCACCGACATCTTGACCCAACAGAAGACCGACTCTGACGACGTCAACGTCAACGTCAACGTCAACGTCGACGTCGACGCAGAGACGAATCAGGAGACGGGCGCCCGTACGTCGGAAACACATCCGCATCACGCCGTCAGCCAGACGTCGGCCTCCATCGCCAGCCTCACCAACGCGCCGTCTTTCCTCGATCTGCTGCCCTCGACGGGCCAGCAACAGACGGCCCCATCGCCGACGCACAAACCGGCCGTCGCCCAGTCGCCCTCGAGTGAGCCGCTCGTCGCCGCCGGCCGTAGCCGCGACGCCAGCCGCAGTCCCAGTCGGTCAAACAGTCCCGTCAGCACCGGCGGCGTCAAGTCGACACGCGAAGATATTCGCTCGCCGAAACTGTCCAACTCGCCGGGCTCGGTCGCCTCACAGTCGCCCTCGCCCTCGCCCTCGCCCTCGCTCTCGCCCTCGCTGTCGCCCAATCGCAACACGCCGCCGCCGCCCGAGCAGATCCAAATGTCGACTCCGACGGCGACGGTGACGGCGACGGCGACGGTGCGTCAGTTGAGCCGGTTGAGCGAAGAGCAAGTGAGCCAAGAGTGGGACGGTCAGCGGTACATTCGAGAGGCCGGAGAGCCGGGCTTGTCGCGCAGCGTGTTCACGGTTGACTTGGTGCTGGAGCAGGGCTCGGAGTCGTGTCAGTTGGAGGACATGCCGGACGCCGGAGTGCCCGAACAGAGCGTCGTCCACTCGAAATGGACGACGGCTCCGGCGGGTCGTAGCGACGTGATGGGCGAAGGTTGCACCCTCATCGACCTCAAGTTCACGTCGCCGCCGCGCGTCGCCAACCGCGCCACCAACGATCTGCCCTCCTACGACATCGACATTGTCCGACCCCTGTCGCCCGGTTCTCAAGTCACCAGCGTCAGTACCAGTTGCGATATCTTCGGAAATCTGCAGCCGTTGCCACCGGTCACCGACGCCTACGCCTCGTTCTGCCCGCCGCAACGACCCAACTTCATGTTCGACCTGCGTTGGCATCGGAAACAACAGGCCTCGGTTACGCAGGACGACAACAACCCGTCCTGTTCGATGGACAGTTGCGAGACCGGTTGGACGACCAAGATCGAACTGAACGCTCAGTTCGGCCGAGTCGGCGTCGTCTCGTCGCCGGACGATCTGGACGACCGACAGGTCAACTACAACCACCGTCTCGAAGCTCTGGCCGCGCTCGTCTGTCGTCATCCAGCCTCGCGGCAGACACACCGGACACAGGATGACAACCAAAACGCTCTGACGCCTGCCAG